TATTCTCTAACAGTACACAACCTCACATACTTTATTCAGAAGTAATGATAGTACCCTTATGAGTTTATTCTTAATGGAGCATGATATTTGTCTGAATTAAAAAGCCACTTTGAATTCTAAGATAAAACAACAGGAACCAGAAGACTAGCTTTTCACTATAGCTAAATAACGGAGTCAGTATGTTCTAGGTTTAGGAATAAGCTAAACATATTTTTAGTATGTGAAAAGTTTCTTAAAAACTAGATTCACTTCATGAATATTTTATACATTCCAGAATATCTTTAAATACCAAGAGTTACAGAAAAAAACTCATTAAAAAAAAAAAAAGGTGTCCTGCCTGGCCGGTTTGGCTCAGTGTTTAGAGCATCGGCCGAGGACTGAAGGGTCCCATGTTCGATTCTGGGTCAAAGGCATGAATCTCGGTTGCAGGGTGAATCCTCAGCCCAGTTGGGGCAAGTTGGGGCTGCAACCAATAGATGTGTCTCTCTCACACAGATTTATCTGTCTGTCCGTCTGTCTCCCCCGTACCTTCCCTCCCTTCCATTCTCTCTGAAAAATATTTTTGGCTCAGGTGAGGATTAACAACAACAAAACAAAACAAAACAGTTGTGGTACATATATACAATGAAATATTAATATTACTTGGCCACAAAAAAGGAATGAAATCTTACCATTTGCCATAGCATGGATGAACCTAAAGGGTATTACGCTAAATGAAATAAGTCAGTCAGAGAAAGACAAATACCATATAATTTCACTTATATGTGGAATCTAAAGAACAAAATAAACGAACAAATAAAGTTGAAACACTGATAGACACAGAGAACTGATAGTTGGGGGGGTTAGGGCACTGGGTGAAAGGGGTAAAGGAATTAAGAAATACAAACTGGTAGTATGGGGATGTAAAATACAACACGGGGAATATAGAATATAATCAGTAATATTGTAATAACTATGTATGGTGCCAGGTGGGTACTGGATATATCAGGAACACTTTGTGAAGTGTATGATTATCTAACTGCTATACTGTAACACCAGAAACTAATACTAAATAATATTGACTGTAAACTGTAATTGGAAAAAAACCCAAAAAACACTAAGTGGTTCAATTTCAACAGTAGATTGCATTACATCCTTCTCCATTAGGTTGCATCTTTGCAAAGCTGGATTTTTGGTGGTTGCTATGTTAAAAAAAAAAAGTACCCACAAAAATATCAATGGAGAACAGGAACTGAGATATAAGTATCCAACCTGATTTCAAGCTATAAGTAGTTATATAGTGCCCCAAAAGTACTGCATTCCATTCCATTAGTAACCATGGTTATACAAGAAATTCCATTTTTCTTTCAACTCATGTGTACTCGCTTTTCAAACAGCTACTAGGCTGTTAAGACAAAATACTTAAGATGTTTGTACCCAACTACCTAACCAACTGCTAGGTTATTCCTTTTGGCCTAGTAGCACCATGAAAAACACCACCATCAACAAAAACAAAAAAGACACCAAGAGGTGAACAAAGAATGTCTGTGAACTTCTGTGCTAGTCCCTTTATTTGGTAATTCTCGCTCTAAAATAGAAGGGTGAAAGCTGAGTTCTTAAAGATAACATTCCCCCCCCAAAACTTAGTGCCTTTCCTCCAAAGCAACTCTATGGCTTTCCCACATTCCCACTTTGTACATACATCCCCAAAGCAGATAAAACTATTTTCCTCATACAAATAAGACTCAAACAAGGTCAATCTCTCACTGCCTCCATTATCTTATGTCAAGAACTGACGCAGATGCCCTAGTAGGTTTGGCATAGTGGTTAGATCATTGGCCTGAGGACTGAAGGGTCCCGGGACTGAAGGGCATGTACCTCATTTGCAGGCCCGATCCTCAGCCCTGCTTGGGGCGTGGGATTGGGGCACATGCAGGAGGCAACCAATTGATGTCTCTCTGACATCGATGTTTCACTCTCTCCCCTTTCCACTCTCTCCGAAAAGCAATGGAAAAATATCCTTGGGTGAGGATTAAAAAAAATAAAAAATAAATGGTGCAGGTTTTAACAGAAATAGTAGTTTAGATAATAAAACTGAACCACAGAGATATGTTTATTTGGAAAAGGACCACCCAAAAAATTATTCTTTCTGGAAAAAATAAGCCCTCTTTCAGGAATGCTAGGTTCCTGAATAGGGTTCCAATACTATTTGGGACAGCCCCTTATACTAATTAGCACTGTATGAACTGATATTTGAAGAACTAGATCCTGAAATTTAATATATATACATATATATATAAATCGCACGTTTGTAACTTAGATCTTTTCAGTACATGAAATAATTAAACATACTGAGTTGGAAACGGCCCTGACATAAACACTTTTTAGCAATAAAGTATAGCTATAGGTGAAGATCGACTATTGCACAGAAAACCCATGACAGCACATTTTATTTGGCTTTGGAATACAACATAGGAGAGGACATATTGCTCAAGGTAAGCTTTAAAGTAAACGCCCTTGGGAAGTTAACCTCAATTTAAAATCTGCACTGCCAATCTATACAGTAAACAATAAAATTTACTACAACAAACAATATTTCCCAAGCAAAATACACTAAATGCAACAATTCCCAATGTAAGAACTCAGGTAAAATATCATTTTAAGGATTTAAGAGCTATGCTGATTCTAAACAGTTGATATTACAAAGGTATTTTTCCTGAAAAGTGACAATCACTAACCATCTAAGACCCCAAAATAATACAGCTTCTAGATTTTAAAACTAGAAAATACAATTAAACAGAAAAATCTTAATTAACAGTACAGTACATTACTAGTCTACACTCTGGTGGTTTGTCAATTCCAGTTTTTACTGCCTTCTAGTTAAAGTCTAACTAAGTATGGGGGGGGGGTAAATGAAGAATCCAGTTGCCAAGTTACAGTGGTTAGGAAATCAACACTTAACAAAGGCCATCATCATCAGTTACTCTTCCTTAACTTATAGAAATTAACTATATACTCAATATTACAAATTGTTTTGGAGGCTAAGAACTGATAATTTTATTTTGGATGCTCAATCCTACAAAGTGGAGTGATGGCAAAGTAAAGATTTTAACCAACGTTAAAGATAGTCACAGTATGTTTCTAAACAGTTTATTAATTTAAGTACAAGACACCAGAAAGAATTACTTCAAATAGCTCAAAACTAATAAAACATTTTACTTTATATCTATTGTTTATGGGTCCAACTTAGAATTAAAACCAACAGCTAATTAAAAAAAAAAGTGCCTGGCTAGGTGTGTCTCAGTGGTTGAGCATCGACCTAGGTTCCAGGAGATAGAGGTTCAACTCCAAGTCAGGGCACATGCCCAGGTTGCAGGCTCCATCCCCAGTCAGGGGCATGCAGGAGGCAGCCAATCAATGAAGACTATCTCATCATTGACGTTTCTCTCTCTCCCACTCTCTGAAATCAATAAAAATATATTAAAAAATAAATAGCATTGCTCTCTACCCTCACTCCCCATAATTGGCTGGGCAGGTCCTTTGAGCCTGAGGAAGGACCTCATAAGACCTCTCCAAGACAGGTGAGAGACTGAGCCTTTTGTGTAAACTACTAGACAAAACTTTAAAAACTTGACTGAAATTTACCTAGGAAATCACTACTGAAGAGCATTCACATAAGAGCAGACCCCCAAATCCTGAAGATACCCAGCATGCCTATCTCCACGTTTAAAAAAATGTTTATATCAGACATCAACAAAATGAATCCTATCAGCCAGATTCTTCCTAGGACTGGATGACCCGTTAAAGGTTTTTTTTTCCAACTCAAATAACTGACTCATAATATTCATCCTGTAAATTCATTCAAATCACTAGTTCAGTAAGATCACCTAAAGAATTTGCAAGGTGGCATATATTAAATATTTTAGAGGATGCAACTTATCTGTTCTCTTCGAGACTTGGAAGTATATAGATTGTTTTTTGGAACAGTGATTGTTACACTTTTCATCTGAGTTTTTAATCTACTCACAAACTTAACGTTTCTTACCTATTTTAAGTGATCTCTCCAAAGTGTTTCTATTTAAAAGTATAATAAACAATGGTATTTCTTTGTAAAAAGATAGTTTGGTTACATTAATCTATTAAAAGCTAGTAATGCTTTATCTGAGGATTCATTTTCTACTCACATATTTTAAGATTGATAATCCTGCTACATTAATTTGGAATTGAGATTTTGAAGGGAAAAGCAAAAGCTATTTTTAAAAATCTTCTATTGGATACTACTTTGGGGGGGAAGGGGAATTTCTTCCAAAATTCTAGTGTATAAAGGGGTTTACAGTAATACATGCATACTTCTCAAGGCTTGTTCTTCGACATCAACTGGCTGGGTGTATCCTTTCTATTTAGAATTCTAGCCCAATACACTCACTGTTAATGTTATTATTTTATTAAGAAAACCCTTGAAAGTGCACTACTTTTTATAGGAATAAAAATTGTTCCCCTTCAGTTGCTTTTCATACATAACTTTCAGGGAACAATGAGTACCAAAAAAACTATAAAACCAGCAGTTCTCACATCTGAAAACGTAAAGCTTCTCCTGAAAAGAATGTTTAAGGCCTTGAAGTGGCAGTGCCAAAAATTCTTATTCGGCTAAAATCGCTAAGATTTTCCTTTGTCATAATAAAACTAAGATTGCTAAAGAATTTGTAGTAAAACAAAATTAAGCTCTTTAAGACAACAAGCAAGCAATTACATACCTGTTTCGATTCTACATTAAGATAGGATAATGAAACCTTGCCTAAAGTTTAATATGGAACACAGAACATATCCACAGGTATCTTTTGATTCAACACGTGCAGAACTACCTACTCTATGGTAACTCCTCGCTGCCAGGGACACGGCTGAGTTCTGGCAACCTTCACTCCCTCCGAGATATTGGAGTTAGGAGAGGGCCGGGAAAGACCCACACTCGAGAAATCACGACACCCGACAGGAAAGTAAGTTGTGGTGACGGTATGGCCTACCTCCAGTTGCCTAGCAGTCCCTGTCGCTCATGGAGGAGGCCCGCGTGGTGCTCTACGAGGAGCACCGCCAACCTCTGGTAGCACCCACCACAGGTGCACTTGGCCCAGGGCATAACAGAGCTGCAGAACCAGACTGCCCAAGTACCGAAATAGCAATTCCAGAGGGTCCACGCCTCCAGGGTGCCGCATGGCAAAAAACTCACTGGAGATTAAGGCCTAAGGCTAACTTTGGAGAGTTAGGAGTAACCCGGACTCCCAAGACGGGGAAAAGTGGGATTTCCTGCACGGGGAAGCTAAGGGACCGTTTAGAGGTGGGGGAAGCGGACATCTGGAGGAAAAATGTCCTCCACCCGCCAACGGCAACCGGAATAAAGATACTGGATCTCCCACCCCTAGCCAAGAACCACTGCCACCAATGAGGGAAGAAAGCCGAGGGGCGAAAGCGGGAGAAGGGAGAGGAGTGGGCGACTTCCCCGCAGTCCCCAGCGCGGCCTCGGCCTCCCGCCGGGGCGACCTTCCCTTGGCGGGTGTCGCACTCACATCGTGAACGGGGCAGGGGGACGGGTGAGTGGGTGGGTGGGC